GACAATCACACATAAAAGTGAGGTCTAAAAGTGAAATGAATATAGAAAATGCTGTGTCAGATGATGGCCCTCCCCTCTGTTTAACGATTTTTATTTTAACCAGGTTTTCAAGGTCTTTTTTCCAGGTAAATCGAGATATATAACAGTTCCTGTTGTGAGGCATTGATCTCATTAAGTGCTTGAAAAGTTTCTCTTGTGACTCACTCCATTCTGCGCAGACCAAAATTTGATTTAGGAAAAAGGCTGCAGACGACCAAGTGATTAAGCTCCATTGTTTCCACAAGTCGTGTAAACAGCACGTCACATTAGTCTGATGTTTATCAGTGTCACTTCACTGTTTTGTTTTCTTTTTTTTATTAGTCTAGTTTTGAACGACTTTTCAAGCGAGACACTGAGGAGCTGTACAATAACTTCTCTCGCTGATTAATTTTAATTCTTTCCATGTACCACAATAAAGGGATTTTCTCCTCACAATGGTTTACGTTCGTTGATTTAAAAGCTTGGGTTGATTACTTGGACGGAGATTTGGCCGCCAAACAGTTTCCAGCTGCAGCAAATGTGTTTAAGTGTCCTGATAAAAATGAATTGATTTTCCTTAAACTAGAGCTGGTTTAAACAATTAGCGTGACAACTATAATGTGTTGTATTTTACTGCCATAACACAAGGATAAAAACAGGGGTACAGTCAGAAAGTCAACGTCATTTAAACATGAATAAAAATTCACACTGTGGTGGAAGTTAGGCTAAATAGTTCTGAGCTATGTTTGGAAATCAGAACAGGCTCGTCTCATCCTTTACGTTTCTCCTTAGACTGAACATCTGCCAGAGGCTAACAAAAAGCCCGAAATTCATGTCAAGCTGACTTAGTTTCAACCTTTCTTTGGTAATGTTCAGGCTGGCTGTTCTAGCCATCTATTGATAGGACATCAGGAACATACATCTATAACCACACATATAATCATAAGTAATGTGTTGTTCATAAAAAAAAATGTAAAATGAAAACAAAATTGCAAACTCAAACTTATTCAATCTTCATGCATCACTGATAGTGTGGCATTTCCCCACTGCTGCAGCCCACTTCTCATCCCTTCCATTCTGCTGTGACAGAACATCTGCAAGAGGAAGTTATGCTAAAGGTAAGGTTCGCACAGCCATTAAAAAGAGAACCCTGACCATTATTTCAGCACTAATCTCAGAGGGAGAGAGATTAATTGAAAATCACGGAAGCGGACGATCACTTTAGGACATAAAATGTGGATTGTGGGGGCATTTATTGATGGAAGAAAGGAGCTCATAAATGCCCATGTTACCAGCTTATATCGACCACACACTCAAGTCTGCATGTGTGTGTTCACAGCTGCTGTTGCCTTAAACCCCTATCTGCTTTCAGTCCAAAGCTCCTCTCTGCTTTCCACCACCTCTCCCAGATGACTGATGATCATGTTGATAAAGTAGTTAATATATGTGGCAATTTGTTGAAAGTATGCAACTAAAGAGGTCAGACAGAGATGGAATGGATATGAATTCTCCCCTCTGAGGGGCCTCACTGGGTCATGAAGTGTTGAGCTGTACGGAGGAGGGAATGCTGGGATGCCGGACGGATGGGCGACTTGTTAAGAGGGCGGTGAGGTATTACTTTAAAGTTTCTCTCCACCCCCGTCGGAAGTTAGTGGGACCGGCAGCCCGAGAGCTTTTCCAGAGGATGGGAAAGCTGGAGGCTGGGGTGACTGCTCATTTAGGGAGGCCAGAGCACAGGCTGAGCAACCACGCTTGAAACTTCAGTGTGCATTCATCAAACTTCACACATAGTAAATTCTGAAAACTTTTCCCGTAAAAAAAAGTATCATCCTTAGGTAAGAAAACAATTTTAAAGTTACCCAACTGTTTTGAGGTATCTGTACAGCAAATACTGTTGACAGTCTTTATCATTTTATTTCAGCTAATTGCCCTCTTAAATATTCAAATCCCGAAACGTAGCATTTAAGCGTTTGGATATTATTTTGGCTGATGAATGCTTGATTCATCTTTCCTTTAAATCTTACATCATATGCTTGATACATTTGGATATTTGAATTAGAGCAAGCCAGATGACTTTTCTGTGGGTTAAAGGACTTTAAATGACTCTTCCTGCTGGTACTTCCACTGTTTGAAGATATAATGTTTTAATGGTGTCCATATTTCCTTTTAACCTACATGCATCTTTTTTGTTTTTGAGTGTCAAAATGAAGACTGCACAAACTAGAAACACTTTGCCGGTTTGATATAAATATATATCATTTGATTGTGGAAACAGAATTTAAAACAACAGCTCTCTGGAACCCAGGAATTTAAGAAAAACTATAAAGACTGATAATAGTCCACTGTCTTACCTGGAAAAACTACCATGGGGTCCATAATAACACAAGATGTATACATTGATCATCCATTACATTATGACCAGTAGGCTGAGGATCATTTGTCATCTTGAAGTTTTTCCAAATTCTGCAGGAAAAACATGGAGCTGCACCAAATGAGAACACACAAAAAAGCAGCTTTGCACAGAGGGACAATCCTGAACTTCGTAAAAACAGGTTGTGAATGGCTCAAAAGCATTTAAGACGCCTGTAGTGTTCCCCTGACCTATAAACTCTCCACGTACCAATCAATGGGAATCTAATAGCATTCATGGAAAGGAAGTCCAATATACAAAGATTTTCCTCAAAACCCACAGGCCCCAAGGATCATCTGCTAGGTTCATGGTTACGGTAAGTTAAGTTCAAAACACTCCAAGACACCTTCAGAGGTTCTTTCATCATGATTTGACTGTTTAGAGCTCTTTTGGCAGGATAAGGAGGGTGGTCATGATTTATGCAATCTATGCTAAATTGACAAATGTTCATAACATAAATTCCACATGACCTGCAGCCAAACAAAATTGTGTAACATTTCTGATGTTTGATTCTTCTAAAGACATGTAAAGATATGAAAGTTGTCTGATCCAGTCCTGCCAATACCATGAATTTGTCCATGAATTTGAGCATGAACACTTGATGTTATTTCCTGCTGACACTAAAAGACTGATTCAGTTCAGTATTATGTGTGTGATATGTGGCCAGTGTCCCATACTTTAACAACTGATCTACATAAATGCTGAAAACATCAAGCAAACGCTGATAAGTAAGTGGATTCCCCATATAAATGAGTCCCTTTGGCAAAAAAAGTCTAAACAAAGTCATCACTTCAGAATACCGAAAGTTGAAGTGTGGAGAGGAAAAGAGAGGGATTATATTAAGGACAAGAAAGATTCTGTCAAGTCGTGTTTCCTCACCACTGTCTCTCGAGAGGTCATTACATCTCTTTATCCTCCCCACACGAGATTTTTTTTGTTTCTTAAGTGGTTGAGGCCAACAAGAACAAATCCAACACTTTGAGCGGTCAGTCTTTACTTCTTCTTCTTTTGCATTTTGGCAAGGCAACGGACCACTGGCCTAAACCTAAGCTTAGCACAATTACTCAAACTTACAAGGCGTAACCATCCTTGGCCGTACTTTAGAATGACAAATTATACGAGTGTGCTTTTGTGTCAAGATGTGTACCTGCTATACAAAATGCATTTATGATTTTGAGGTCAGGTTGTTTTCATATTTAACTCTATGAACAAGTGCGCCAACTTACTGTCAAAGCGCATTGACTAGGTATGGTTTGTTTGGATAAGGAAATTCTAAGCATATTTGCATTTGTATTCATACTTCTGTCATGATTATCAAAAATCAGATTTAAACCCATCATGGTGGGTTCAAAGGTCATCTGGAGTAGGTTCGGTTGAGCGGCTTTATTTGGGGACTGGCAGGGAACATTTGAACAAGAAATGTTAAGCTAATAAGCTACTCAGTTGGTCAGCTGCTTCATTTTAGCTGCAGGTGGATGATAAACAAGGTTTCATTTTCTTCTCATATTGTGCTATTTATCAATACAACAAAGATTATTCCGTTTTGTAAATCATCAAAAGCCCTAAACACAAGTGCGTGTGTGTGTTTGTGTTGCAACAGGAGAAACGTGTAAAAGGGCTCTGCAGTGGGACAATTACTCAGCCTTGGGATGAATGAATTCTGTGGCTGAGTTTTTTTTTGTGTTTGTAAGAGAGCAGACTGGAAGAGGAGAGTGGAGGGGACGGAGGGGAGGAGCAGAGAGACGTGGGTGAGTGATTCTCCAGATGAGATCTAATATGTGAGACGGTGCATCCTAAAGAGACGTTTTCTCATGGGCCCAGCCCATGAATACAAATTCACCCCGCCACCCGCCCAGCACGGGAAGGACGGATGCACCTTGCTTCAACCCATCGTGGAGGAGTACAGTCTGCTCTTTCCTTTTTTTGTTCTTTCTCCACATCCACGTCCATCCAATCACAAAACTCAACTCTGGTGACTTCATGGCCATGGTCTTATGACTCATCCATTCATACAGCTTTTGTAACTGAGTTTGTTTGCTCTCATTGACTGTCATGGGTATTTAAAATGACGGAGCCTCCGTCTCTGAGCATGTTGGCTGAAAAGTAAAATGTTGCCAACGACACGCAGCAGGTGAGTTTGTCAAGGGAGAAAACGTGGAAAGCAATCAGTCTGCTGGCGCGTGCTGACCTCTAGGGTTATCTTGACCAGATTGCGTGCATGTGTGTGGGTAAAAATGTGTGTTTGGTTTAATTTGTGTTTGTGCATTGGTATGTGTGCGTGTGTACATGCGAAAAAGAGGCAGAGATAAGAGTCTGTAAATGCAATGGAGTCGGTCCTGGTGACATCAATATCGTAGGGGATCTGAGTGGCCAGGAAAGTCAATTAGAGTTAAACTTAGTTTACCAGCTGGACACTGAATATGAGAGGAAAAAGTCTGCGGAGGAGTGTGTGTGTGCATGTGTGCGTGTGTGTGTGTATGAGAGAGATAGAGCTAGAAAGAGAGAGAGGGAAGGGGGAGGAGATACAAAAGGGAGGAACGGAGTTGAGAGGAGGGAGAAAAAGTGAGGAGGCTCAGAAACAAGAGGGAGTTGTTGCCAGTGATACAGTACAGACAGACACACAACTCATTTACCTCCTGCAACTTCTAGCAGGACCAGTAGTTGTTGTTGGGCTTTTATTTTTTCAAACAACCAGGAGTGGAAGTGCAGGCGATAGAAAACGGGTGGTGCTTACAAGCAGAGGTCAGGCAGGCAGAGGGGGAAACCGCTGGATGTTTTTAAGAGTTTTCTTATCTGACAGTGACAACAGGATGAGAAGCTGAGCAAAGGGGAGCAGAGAGGAAAAAAAACATGGAGCAGGCTCCGTTACCTATAGTTACATAAGAGAGATATGCACTGGCTCGCTCTGACGGGGTGAAAACTGACAGACAGAGCTAAACAGTCCACTTTGTCCATTCTGTCCAAAGGAGCAAGAGACTGAGCCGAGGGATCGTAACACTGGAGCTCAAGGATAAACCATGGACTCTGCATACATCCCACCACACCTGGACGTGAGTACGACATCCCCAGCCCTCTCTCACACACAGACTCACACATCTGTTTGCGGAGCAACAGGCCACAGGAACAGCACTGCTCAAATCATTAGTCACCTCTGGGGAAATCGCGCACATGCATGCACTACCGGGACACCGGGTTGCTCAATCTAAATCAGGTCCCATTAGCAACTTGTTGGAGAATAATGTGTCCATTATGAGTTCAAAGAGCATAACTCACCACCTCACTACACACGGCCTAAATGGACCCTCAGTGTTAACAGGCAGCAGCTTAATGCGAAAAGCAGAAGTGTGTTTTCGTTCTGTATTTCACATCGGCTTAGCTGTCAGACGAGCACAGGGAGCAGTCTCGGAGCTTTCAGCAGTGGCGGCAGTGGTCAGACGTCAGTGTTTCCACTGGTGCAGGTGAAGTGCGCTGTTCCTCCGAGAGGCCTCCTGTAAACCGCAATGCACTCGTGACTCTGAGACTTCCAAGCATCTCCATGCTGAGGGCGAGAGTGGCATGAGGATGAAATGTATCAATGCTCATCAGATTAAAAAAGATAAGACCAAATCCAAGAAATATATGAGTTACTGCATTAGTGTGAAGATGCGCTCAGTCATTTAATGTGTCTGTATATATATGTACAGGCAGAGCAGCCTATAATCAATCAAGCTGGGATGCCATGAGAGTTAAAAAAAACCCGACAGCATCCCACCTGATATTAATTCTTCCACTCATTCCATCTGTTAAACCTCAGAAGACAGAACTTTTTAATCTACATTACAAATTAACTCTAGAGTATGAATGAATGCATTACAGATCCAGCAAAGGCAGTGAGCTGCATCATACCTACACTTGTTTAAACTCCCGATCGCAGTCGCGTTTGCAGGTGTGTATGTCCGAAAAGTATATGTGCTTGGGCTCATGAGGCAATATGACTGATGATTACATTCTGAAGGATTGGCCGTAGGACCAAAAATGAACCCAGTGGCCTGTACACTGGCTGTATCAAGTTCTGAAAGAATCAAAGCGCCTTATAGAAAAATGAGAGTCATGAGCGGGAGGTGGCAGGGGGGGGGGGTCAGAGAGAGTGAAAGGAGGAATTTGGGAAAAGAAACACGGGAAGAACAACAGGAAGGGAAAGTTGAGGGACCAGGCATAACATGAAGACAGCGGTCGTGGATAAATCAGCCGGCCGCAGTGACACGCCGGCCCTCTGGCCCGGGAACAGTCTGCCACACTCTTCCGCAAAAACACCATTCATTCAGGACCTATAGGAAAAAAGAGGAACGTTAATAGAGAAGAAGGAAGGAGAACAAGTGATAGGGCAGTGAGAAGGTGATGCAGAGGAGAACAAAACAGACATTTCTCTCTGGAAAGTCAGAGGTCAGATGAAAAAGGGGGGATATGAAAAAAGAGATTGATAAAGAGCAAGACTGGAGGCTGAATTAAAAGAAACTGGCACGGAGGAAAAAAAAAAGAACTCTTGCACACAATATGACAACACAGAGGACAAAGCAACGGGACAAAGTTCAAGGAATGCAAAGAGGAAGGAGGAAGGGGAAAGGGAGCAGAGTTTGAAATAAACAGATAAAAAGAGAGACGGACGTCAGAGGTCAGAGGTTTTAATCAGTGGGTTCAGAAAGACACGGGCAGACCACCATTGACCCTCACTTGTCGCACGCCAGGGTCAAGCTACTGTCTGCTCTGGGGGTCAGGCTGCTTTTCTAAAGTCTAATAGGCTGAGCTGTTTTCATTCACACAGGAAAAAGATGCACAAATTATCCTGCTGGACTCCAAACCCTCATACCTCCGCCTTGCTTTGTCTGGTACCAGTGAATTCTATGATAACTGCACTTAACATTTTTTTCATACTGAGTCAAGTCAGACTTATGCCAGACAGGAAATAAATAAAACTGTAAAGATAAAAAGAGAAACAGTGGAGGTGTGATTATAAGATTGTCAACTGGAATGACAGCCCCATTTACAAGGCTCAATAGGCTGCCAAGTCGGACCTAGATCCTCTTTTTCCCATCTGAACTATGTAGGGCCAGTCACAGAGACCCTGGGACCCTTGTTTGCAAGCGTCAAAGTGATGAAGAGCAAGCTTTCCACCCCCTCTCTTGTCATCCGTTCCTCTGCCTGACGGGGGCCGGTGGCACACCCATCTGAGGCCTGAACCTTTGTACCTCAGAGTCACCCGGGTGGTTTTGTAGGTGAGGAAAGTACAGGAGAGAGCTGGTGTTGTTGTCCTTAATATGCTTTACAAGCCTCCACAGTTTATGGGAGAGGCCGTTTAAGCAGAATGTCTAATCTATAATTGTCCTTTTCGGCGCTGCCTCAGGTGAAACAGCCCTGGGTGGGGCCGCATGAGTTTAATGGATAGCTAACAACAATCCCACGCTTGGAGGTGCCTTATTTTCCCAGGCCTGCACTTTGAACCGCAAACCATATGAGCAACACGCATTGACACAATTGGGCTTGCATAGAAATATGCACGCCTTCACACCTGTGACCTCTTTTTACCCTTTTTCTGACAGTGTGGCGAGATAAGCAGTCATTACAGCGTCATTATGTGTTCACCTGGCCATAAACGGCGCTGTTATCTCGTTGCAGAGGCCCTAATCGATTCTCTGTCCCGTACAGAGATAAAGAGATAGAGGCGAGAAAGAGAAAGATACGCCAGCACTTATAGGAGGAAACAGATAACAGCGAGCCTAAAGTGTTCCCAAAGACAGCAGAAGCAGATTTACTCAGAACTGGGGAGTTTCTTTACAACACAACTTTAACAAGAATTTGCGATGTTGTTAAAATCTATCCATGATAGGTTATTTTGCCCTCACAGCTTTAATTTTAGCATTATGATAACTGTCATTTTAAAAGCACAAGTTTGATTCTGCTTAACAAAAGAACACAAAGCACAATCCAACGGATGAAAGAAAGGACGCTGCACCTCAAACTTGCGGGGTTGAAATTTGTAAGAAGGGATTGATAAAACAATGTTGAGACCATTGTTAACAGCATTAGATAAAGCTCATAATGGAGACATGTTTTGTTTTATCCTGATTCTTTTTCATGTGCTTTTAATCACATCTATTCGTTTTATGGTTAGATTGTGCTCAGATGAAAGAATAAAATGGATGTTAGATCATTCAACATTACGTTATGATGCTCAGTTAATTCGTCTTGATGCCTGGTCACTAGGTTTTGCACTGACCCTTTAACACGTTGCCGCAACCTCTGCAGGTCAGCAGAGCCATTACCTTGCTGGGTTGTAATTACGCTCTCAGTTATTAGCACCTTTACTACAAAGGCTCAGGATGTTAGTCAGCTCTTTGTGGTAATTGTGTGACCTCCTTCTGTGGTCAAGTGGTTCCCGCACTGCGAACGGTCATTCGGGAAAGAATGGTAATGGCTAATAAAGCATAGTAATGGTAAATAAACGAACACTAATGAAGCATATTCAAATCAATTAATGTGAAATGATTTAACCATAAAAACAAACAGTAGTCATTTAAAGGACACAAAAGTAAAAAAGGACAAGACAAAAATATCATTATTGTTAGCTTCTTTATTGTTATCATTGATGGTCTCAACCTTGTCTACCTTACCACTTCTTACTAATTATTTGTGTTTCAGTAATGCAAATAGATGTTTCTGGACAGAACTAAACACTACATGGGGAAACTCCAAAGCTCATAAATCATGAGAGGAATTCAGCAAAAAGTTGTTATTTAGACAAGTCTACATTAAGACATTGATTTTTGAACAGAGATCAGAGAACTAAAGAATTAGAGAACTAGAGAATTAAAGCTTAACTGGAAAGAACAACAAAAATGAAAATCCCCTTCTCAACACTGGGTTCTTCCACACAGGACTACACCTTCTGCATGTGCATCACCTGCATGTCCCTGATGGGAAACTTGTATTTACCCAAAATGAAAACTCAGTGTGCACACCAAAGAACAGAGAGCATGAAGTACAACGCAGCCACCATATCGCTGGCAGAGATCCAATCACCAACTTTTTATCAAAACAGAGCTTCCTGTCAAGCAGTAGCGGACAAATACAAGCAGTAGTATATTTTAAGCTTTTCCTATTTTCATTTGGTTACTAAATGAATGACCAAACATTAATTCAATATTTTACACACCTTGGAACACAAATGCAAACGTTAAATCGTTGGTATGAACACCGTAAATGTGAATTGACAGTGTACTACATCATATAGAATAGAACATAGGTGTGTATTCTTTAAGAGGGTCATTATTCTGCCAAAGTTTTGTAGAAACAGCTGTTTTGCGATTGAGGATGCTTAATTATTAATACCTTTGGGGCTTTGTGCAGGTTTTTTTAGAAAGTGTCATAGATCAGGTACAAATTTACTTTCTTTGCCTGTTCTCCATATCTCCGTATCCCCAGAAAGTTATTCTGTTGCAGTCTAACATAAATTCAAGAGCCTTAATCTTTGACCTCTGCCAGCTCTGCAGTTGTCTTCCCCGTTTCATCAAAAAACTGAACCAAAACCATCACTCCAAATTGACCTTTAAACATGAAACATCTCTAACTGAGCTGTGTAATGTATAATTGAATGAGATTGATAGATGTGTGTCTTATTCCCTCCCTCACACAGGGAATTTATTAAAAGCTACTCAGTACTCTGAACCTGTATTCTCTGGTGATTTGAAGAGGAAGGGAGACAGAAATCTGGTCATCCGTCATTGTGGCAGGACTATATAACTCCATAGCGCCTTTAATGATTAAAGTACATACAGAAGCTGCTTAATTGCTCCTGCTTAGGTGTCCTGTGAGATAAATTGTCCTTTGGGGCACATAGATAACCATAAATCAACTAAGAAAAAACAAAGAATCACTGTTTCAACAGCCAGGGGTAACAAGCAAACAGCTTTGTATGGATATGTGAACAGTAAACTTCTTGAACATATGCCACGAGAAGGCTAAACACTAATGAGAAACTGGTGTGTCCAGGAAGGAGAAGACAAGAAAATGATATACAGAGTTCATGAGCATCTCGTAGGGGCTATTTTTTTTGCAGATTTCCCAACCAGTACTTTATATTCCATCGTTATGTAACATAATTTACATCCTCTTTGTATGAAACATAAATCCTGCAGAAACACCTAAATTTAGGCCTAAGGAGAAATATTCCACACTGTGTGCCTTTGCAGGTCTTTCTTTTGATGTCTGGGACTCTTTCCTCTGCTCATTTATTTTCCTGACCAAATCCTCTCTCCTCTCCAACTCTCCCCAGGTCCACCATGCTCCCTGCTAACCTCTTGCTCCTCATGGTCTTGCTGCTACCTCAAGCTTCATCTGGTCGCCAGGGTGGAGACATTAGCGACATCGATCATGGCAGGGTGTCCCCCACACCTTCCTCCTCGTCAGCCACGCCACCGCCCCCCGATCCCAGCCTGGCTCAAACCATCCAGACTCTCCTCTTGAGCCGGCTGGGCCTGCAGTCTCAGCCTGACCCACGACGCGGGGTACCGGTGCCACAGTACCTCCTAGATCTGTACCGCTTCCACCAGGAGCAGTACCATCTCGTGGAAGATCCCTCATTTGATTTTCCCAACCAGCACATTCAGCAGGCCAACACTGTACGCAGCTTCCACCACAGCGGTAAGCTTTCTGATCCACCACGAGGCTCCTCATGCTTAAATTTGTTTTGCTTCCAAGTGTGCTGAACTGAATCGTATTCAATGTTCAGATTGTCAAAAGGTGAGTGACTAAAAAGGTTAAGGACCTCTGTGTTTCTGTTCAACAGATAAAAACAGTAGAGGCTCACCTGGTTACCACAGTTAATATGAGTCTATACCTCATGAGTCTATGGCCTCATCTTAGATATTATAAATGATGGTCTCAGATGGCTAAACATTTGCTCCAGGGTTGAGCTAAACTATGAGAGAGAGATAACTACCTACTGTATCAAACTAAACCCCAAAAAGCATAATTTGACCTAATAATATGTTCCATGAACCCTTTAAACACCTACTTAATATATATGTTCTACGTTAAGAGCATTTTTTAATGTTCGTATTTCACATTGGAAAGAATTTGATTATGGACTTTATGGACATACTGACTTCTCCCATAGTTTGCTTTTTTGGTTTAATTACAGCATCATGTTGAGTTTTTAAGAGAAAATTGGGCTCCAATGTACATTTATTGACCTCATAACACCCTAGAGTTGTGTTATTAGGTGTTTTTAACTATGACAAGAGTCATGTGAAACATGAATTAAGGCATCTGAAGCCTGTATACCTGGGGCAGCAAAAAGATCATTAGACGCTAATTGTTTGTAATACTGGGGCTGGGATATTGTACTTTGGAGGATAAAACTCTCTATGATGCTTAATAAAAAAACAAAAAGGAAAATATGGTCATTTTAGAGTACAGGGTTGGGGCAGTAAACTATTTCCTGGATAGTTATCCAGCCTTTGTTCTGGTAAAACCTGCATACTTCCTCAGTTTTGAAATATCACAAACACTGAAATATAAATTAGCATTCAACATGCCCTTCCTGTAAAAGAGTTCCCGAATTGCAGCGCCTGAACCTCTTCCGGTCTGTTAAAACATAAAGACTTTGAAGTTACGTGGCAGTGACTCATTGAATAGAACACAAAATGTTGCGTGGTATTGTTTACTTTTTTTAAGTTATGTGACTGACCATGTGTAACACAAACAAAGGGAATATGGTAACCTGTCCTGTGTCATATCCCTAACTGAATCTTAAAGTAAATCAAAATCAAAATGTGAAGACCCTCTCAATGTTTGTATTTTCAGCGGAAAAAAACAGACGTACTAAAATAAAATGTTCACAAGCAGTAGAAGATATAAAGATGCTTTTTGGATATGAGGTGAAACATCTTCTTCCTCAAAAAAAAAACTTTTTAAAACTCTTTAAAACTCTTAATATTACATAGACGACTGAGAATCAATACCAAAAGACCATTTTTACAAATTTTTACTATAGATAACTCATCTTCATCTTCAGATAATGCTGAGCAGTTTGACAATTTTTATGCTATTGACGTCTTTCAAGAAATGACCAGTGTATTCAGCTCAATAAAACCAACGTCTAAAAATATACTCAACTCCCATTTTCTCTGTCTCCCTTCTTCTCAGAGCTTCTTGGAAGCCCTCCCAAATTGAAGGATCATACAAGAGTTCACATATCATTCAACATCTCCTCCATCCCTCAGGATGAGACCGTGGTATCTGCTGAACTAAGGCTCCTCCGTGGGGATAGAGCCTCCGTGGAACGTGGGCCCCACAGACTAAATCTATACCTCTCCAAAAGCCAGGAGGATCCTCAGCTTACTTTGCTGGGAACAAGGTTACTTACCAATGGCATCCACAATCAGAAACCAGGAGGTGTCTGGGAAGCCTTTAGTCTAAGTGCAGAGCTCCTCCATAAGGCCCATGCTGAGACTGGCAGACTGGGCTTCCTCCTGGAGGTCAGGCCTGAAAACGGCACCGCCTCTCTTCTTGACCAGAGCTCGGCTGCAGAGAAACAAAAACACGGACACCTCCGAGTGTGCAGGTCTGTGGGGCAGGACGATCACAGCTGGGCCCGAGAGAGACCCCTTTTGGTGACCTACAGTCACGATGGCCACGGAGAACCTCTGGTCAAACATGGCAGGCGAACCTCTGGTAACGGCCAGAGGATGAGGGGAAGAAAAGGGTCAAAAGTGAGGGGCAGGAACAGCAGCAGGGGTCGCAATCGAGAGCAAGGATGGGGGAGGTCCAAAAAAATCGGGTTTCCGGTGCACGTCTGGGGGGACGAGAAAGGGGGGGTCAGCTGGAGCGATAGTGGACGGGTAAAAAGAAACGGCGGTCACTCGGCAAAACTGAAGCGACTCTCTCGCGGCAGATGCCGCCGTCATCCCCTGTACGTAGATTTCAAAGACGTGGGTTGGCACAAGTGGATCATCGCGCCCAGCGGCTACGACGCTTTCTTCTGCCTGGGAGAGTGTCGCTATCCTCTGGCCGACCACATGAACGCCTCCAGCCACGCCATGGTTCAGACCATGGTAAACTCTGTGAACGAAGCGGTGCCGCGGGCCTGCTGCGTCCCCACCTCCCTCAGCCCCATCGCCCTGCTCTACTTGGACAATCAAGACCGAGTCGTGCTGAAGAACTACCAGGACATGGTGGTGGAGAGCTGCGGCTGCTGGTAGATGCTCGGAGAAAACGGGGACCCGCGTGCAGACAGAGGCCCGTGGTGGTAGTATGAAAGTTCAGAGTCATGAAAGGGGGGGGGAGAAAGTGGGAAGAAGAGACTGTGTCAGCCAGAAAACTGCAACGGCCAGAGACCGATCAAGAGAAATGTAGCAGCATAAGAAAGCGTGAGTGGAGGGGAGAGAGATAAGGGAACGAATGAAGCAGCTAATTCACCAAAATAGAAGCGAGTCACAGAAAAAGGGAAAATGGTAGGGAAAAATAAAGACTGCCACGTATAAGGATAAATGACCAGACGACAGGGCAAGGGAAGACATGTGAGGAAAAACGCTATCTGCCATTAAAAAAAAAACTGCCAGGAATGACTTTCTTTTCCCATTAGGCAATAAAGCAGCTCCATACATCACCAGCTGACAGTCCGCTTGTTCTCTTATTAGAAGCCACTGTTCAGAGGCTTTAGCATCAGAGGGTATCGCTTCACCTTTTCAACTCCCCAACCTCTGACAAAGCTGTCCTACGGGCACTCGCTCAAGAAGCCCGCTTTGTTTTTCAAAAGTCAAAAGTGTCTTCCTCCATTTCAAGCGCTGGTGCAGCATTTAAAAAGTTTTATATCTTCCGGGTGGAGCAATGGTTGACTGAATGCATCAGTGAGAAGTCGATGGCACGAGCACAGCATCATGACTTTATTTGACTGGGCTGTTTCTGCAGTATTCAAACAAAAAAAAAGGGCTGATCTGTTTTTATCAAAGCTAACACGACAGCAGACTGTCCCTTACAAGCAACCACTACATCACATCCTATTTAAAACAACAATTATGCTGAGGAATTATTATGCTATTATTTGAATGTACTGCTATCATTATTATTTAAGACAAGGAGACTTTTTGTAAATTTTGTTTTGCAGACGTGAAGAAAATTCATGTGCTGGTTGTCTTGTGATTATTCATAATTCCACTGAATTCTAACTTAAAGACACATTATGTATTTAAAAGCAGCAATATGATGTATTTAATCTTGAAATATTTAAGATACCTTCACTCATCAGAGCATAGAGCATCATGAAAGCCTGCCATACACATGAAGTAAGTTATGATAGCTTTCATATCAATGCAAGCGGTCAGTGTTTTGAATTAACAGCCTGTGTTACCTCCCTCCTTATCACTGCACACATTTTGCTGTACAACACTTAATAGCAGACATGAGTGGTATTACCTCTAAAAGCTCCACTAACACATCAATCGAAAGCTCTGTGTATTGTAGCTGCTGAAGTGTGTCTTTGCGATAGTTGTGTCTGCATGTGTCAAGAAAAAAAAAGGATGACTGATATTAAACCTGGGACTTTAGTGCCTTTTTAAACAGGGGCTTTAAAAGTGTTCTCTGCTGAGCTTAGTAAATGTTTTTCAGTGTTGTATTTTTCTCTCTAAATGGAAACATTTAAGCCACAGCTAGTAAAATGTTTGACAATATACCTCTAATAAACCGAGCAAACAGCACGGGTGTCAAGTGACTTTTCTATTGCATCATAAATTTAAGTTTCTTTTCAGGGATTTGGGGGGTTGGAAAAGACTTTACATTCAGTATTTTCTTGGAACTGGACTGAAAATATATGGCAAAAAAGTCCCACCGAAAGAGATGATCTACAATTTTTAGACTATGACACTGCAGTTAAGGAAGTGGAGGACATTTTTCACTGAAAAAGCCGTTACGCTTAAATAAAGCTGTAAATATGTATTTTGTCTGCCACAAATCCAGCATCACCTCACACTGCCCTCTATGACCAGCACACACATGCCAATTAACCCTATATCCTTGATAGGGATAGAAAATGAAAGTAAATTTTGCCGTGATGAACACAGACTGAAAAGCAGCTTCGTCATTCTTCAGGGTCGGGGCCTTTGACATTCACATTCCGGCTGCTGAGAAGCGAGCCTTGCCCGTTTAGAGTCAGGTCAACTTCAACATCCACATGCTTTTCTAGCTGAGTCTTCTGCTGCGTCTATTCTGCTGTAAAAAAGAACATTTTCACCCTTCGTTAGGATTGCATTTCTACATCTCATCATAAAGTAACAATAAAACACACAGAACATTAATATAAGAAAGAAAAAAGTAAACATGAATTTCGAAGAATATAAATCTGCCTTTAAAGGTAGAATTATTCTGACTTTGTAGCTAAAGTCATGTTTTTTAATTAGACTTTCTGGGACCAAGGTTACAACCATGACAAATTTCCTTGGGTCCAGTTGCATTAAATATTGCTCACATAATCAAATGCTGGCCCTGGTAAAAGATTTAGGGAGACTGACTGCATTAAGAAAAAGCCTTGAAGTGCACACCTGACGCACCAGATGATTTACCATACAGAGCTTTATTGGAAAGTGTGTGCAAAAGTTGGAATAACCATCGCTTTATCACAATCAATCACCATTACCGCCACCAAATTCCACCAAACAAGTTGGGACAAGGACAAAAGCTTCACTAAGAAAACCCGTAATGGCATTCTTTGCTTAGGAAAACACCGCTATTCAGACATCTAATGATTTAACAGCCTCTAATTCAAACCTCTTTAGCTACAGAGAACTGCTCAGTCACAAGTGACTGTGGCTGCCAGAAAAAAAATGGAAAGACTACAAATATTTGGCCACAATTCCAGACCTGGAAGTCTGTTCGAGTTGCAAATAGCATAATTAATCAGGAAGTTGCAAGGTAAAGAAATACTGTTCTACAGCTAAACTGCCTCCGTTTGTCAAGGTGAGAACAGGAGGGCTGCAAAAATGGAAATGACAAAATAGCTCATTGGTCATGGCTGAGGAGGACAAACTGAACCGGGGCAGCTTTGGTATTTCTGTGGTAAAAGTGGCTTTGACCTCTCTTTAAGGCCAAAAGACACCTCCAAACCCACCAAAAAACACACATTTTTAAAGCACCAGCGTTTGAAATGCTACGAATCAACGATGCTGATCCTCTCAACCTGCTGTGCCTGTGGTTTATAGATTTATATATTCTCTTATTCTTTACCTGTCAGAATCTGCAATACCATTCCGTGCAAATTGTTTTAACCCTATAATACCAACTGTATCATATTTGATACGTACGGTTTCTGAAGTCTTTTGGATCTGAGACTTTTTGCATCATTCAATGGTAAAAGCTTTGCTCAAACCCCTGTTGTACACATTCAGATATACCTGATAACAGACAGTAGAAGACAACACCAAAATACATTTTTGACTTATTGCACGCTAATTTGATCAAAATAGTTTCTGTTTTTTTTTCTTCATATGTTGTTGAGGGGCCAAAGAAAGACTTAAGACTAAAAAAATCCAATATTCTGCCTATTTTTCTTGGATCGGGCTTTAAAGGGTTATATATGCACAAATGACTTCATCACTTGTTGTCCTAACACTACAGATGTACACTTTTATCCCTGCAGCATGGTGCTGTTGTTTACACGGCCATGTTTACATGTCCATGCACTGCACAACATGGCACACACACATTTTGTGTGAAACAGCCCCACTGCATCGCTTTTAGTTGTAAATGTTCAGAGCATACAGCTGGAATTGTCTAAACTTCCTCCCCTTGCATATTTCACCTCTCATCACCTGCGTCTGGTACACTGAATTGCGTGGGTGTGTGTGTGTGCAAGTGTGTGAGAGACGACAAAAACAGAACAAAGAAAGCGAAGAGCCAGCTGAAGATGTGCACACGGGATGAGTCATTTGGTATCATGTTCACAGATGGTATGTAGCTTTGTAGCTCCATACAGTTCTAGCAGATAACGCTTTGGGTTTGCGCCAGTCCATTTCATCTAATGAGCTGTAACACATCATTGTTCACTCGGTGCTTGAGCAACAGCCTCTGGCCTTCTTCCTTTCTGACCCCGCTCACCCTTTCACCTACAACCCATCCCTTATTCTGCTTCTCCTGACTCATACATCACTCTCATCCTTCATCACCCCCCTTTCTGTACCAGAGACAATTAAACCTGGTTTTTATCTCACACTGGTTGTCAGTCATTTCTTCATCCTTAAACGCTTTTTGGTTGTCGGGCTTTTTTTTCTTCTCTCTTTCAATCCTTCTTGTTCCAGGTGTTAGATTAGAAACAGGTGTTGAATGGCCTGTGTATCACAGATGTCAAATTATGGACGACTACTGATGCAGTCTGGTTAACTCAAGCACGTCGTATTAACTTTATGCCATTTTGAATTTTTAGAAAAACAAAAAATAATTCTCAGTTGTTAAGAGTAGCATTGTCATATTTAAGGATTATATTGTCCATTGTAACCATGGGGGGGGGTGTTTACAGATCATCAAACCTCCATAAAAGCCACCTCCCCCATGTTATTTATCTTTGAGATAATTTTTTTCCCCTCCTTGCTCACATTAGTGTTTCCTAATGATAAAATAATTCCTATAAATACTGTAGAGCAGTAAGAGAAGATGTGGCTTGCCTTATTTAGTCATGTTTACATTCAGTTTGAAGCAAACTGTGACCTTGAACTCATCAACGCAATGAAACATCATCCATCAGTATTTAAATCATCCAGAGGGAAACGGAGCTGTTGTGCGTTACAACCAGTGACGAGGCAGCACGAACACACTGTGGCACTCTTGAACACCTGTCTTTATTTATCCCTGAGGTTAGCCAGATGCTTCAAATGATAACATGAGCTCTCCACAAATGGCACAGCGTCAGATTAATTAAACCAACTCCTTCTCCAAATGTCATACTTGTGTTAATGCAACACATCAGGGATTTAGGAAATATAGATTTAATCTCTTTATAAACAGATTGGGTGCAAAATGTGACATCAAGCCGAGTGTAAACAAAATTGTTCTGTCCTTAAAATCTGCTCCTTTTGTTTAAAATTTACTAGCAATGACTCCACATGAGCCATAAAAAAGTGCAAAGACAAGCCTGTGAAGCATTTGGACTTTGGAGCACACACCAGATATTTAGTGTCTTTAACAGTTAAACAGTTAACCGTCAAATATGAGGAACGTCATTTATGTGTGAGAGCTGCTTCCTTGTTCACCGCCACAGACTGATTGTTGACACAGTTGATGAGGGCTGTTGCCCTCTTTCCCACCCACACTGACAGAGATGAGGGAACCACAGACGGGAGCAACCTGCTTTTTCCCTGGTGTCCACTCAAAGGAGAATTAATGCGGCCACAGAGTCCCCCATGCAGTTCACCTAATATACAAATATAAATTTGTGCGTCTTTTAGTGTCCTTTGATTGAAAGCTTAAATGTTTTATTTAAAAAATATAATGATTGCAAAAGTCTGGATCTGTATCTCAAAATATAATGAAAAAGATACATTTGCAAACTTAAAACTCTGCAGGCAAAATGAAAAATGGGCATTTCCCATGGTTTTTACTTAGAAAAGTCTTTGCCGTTTTTCTGTGTTTGGTTCAGGGGCCCAGATTCACAGAATATGGAAGTTGTCTGCTGGATTGTTTGCATAAAAGCAAACACAAAAAAAAGCCAAGACGACAGATATATACCAAATGCAGAGGATACATGGCATGACTTATTCTATCGGGGTCAAAGACTGTCAATGGCTACAAAACATTCCCTTCTGGACATCAGAAAACAGTTTTCAATCATTCTAACCCCTTGACAACACTAAACTGCAGTTTGATACATATAGTGTGTCACACAATAAAATGATAGTGTCTTAAATCACTGTTGCAGATGGGAATGAATATACCGGGTTGTGTGTTGAAGCTGACGGTGGTTCAGTCTGAAACACATAAAACAGATAGCGAAGGTTTTTGGCTTCGTCTCTGAGCTTCAAAGAAACGCTCGGGCTGAAACCGAATCGTCGAAAAAAGACCTCTGGGTCAGCGAGTGAAGCAGGTGCGACACCAGGAAGGTCGGCAGGAAGCAGGAAAGTCATGAGCCACAACGCTGACACCTGAAATCAGGGAGGCCCAGCCTGTCCATCTGTCCCTTTCGAGCGCACGTGTGTTTAACGTAGCAATGCAGCGATTTCTGGAGGACCGGCTGTTTTCGCAAATTTAGCCTGGCCAACATTTCGAACTGAAAATGTGTGCTCCAGATATTATCTTAATCAAAAGTAATTCCAATTTAAACACTCTCGAAACCAAGAACATATGCTTTTTTCTCCCTGTCCTTTTTTGCATCCATTTCTTCATTTAGAGCTTCTTGTCATTTCCAGCTGTCCTCCTACAATCCCCCAACATCTTAACCATGAAAAATGATGTTTTTACAGGTGTCTTACAATATGGATGGAGTACCCGCTCAAATGGAAATTGCTTTCATTCCTTCACTTCTTTTTGCAACTGCAACTTTCATTTAGTGCCTCTTTCACTTACAGTTGACTAAAAAAGAGCACTCCCTTTCATTTCTAAAGATCTATGTATCAGTACATATTTTTGTTGAAAAGCAAGAATGAGGTGAGGCTCACCAATGTATATACACATGCATGCACATCTCTGAAGAAACCACTGAAGCTGAAAAGTACATATGGGTTTGGGGGCAACATATTTTTCCATCCAAACAATGTCTCTTTCAGGGTGTGTCCCCTCGTATTTAAGCCACACAATCCCAGTTCACCTTCTGCATATGTTACAGCAGCATGGCTTCATGGTGAAAGAGTGTG